GCAATAAAGGTCCATCTCACTCAGGTAAAGGGGAGTGCAGTCCAGAACAGAAAGCATCCCAACAAGCCAGCAGCAAGCCCCACCTCAGCAAACCAGCAGGAGATGCTGAACCCCAGTGTGGTGGAAGAGGCAAACACCAACACCAGGATTCTGCCACCTGCCTTAGCATAGCCAGGGGAACCGGCTAACCAAGAATCAATCAATACTTTCACCTCTGGAGCTAATGCTCGAGAAGACAGAGAATCTAGGGGCAGGATGCAGAGGGAGGGGGAGGAGACAGGCCTCCAACAGTCATGGGCAGAAACAGCAAGAAGAGAGCGTGAAGCAGATCTGAGATTGGGGAGCTGAGGGGAGATACAGGAGTCCCTCATCCCAGGGAACATGCATTCATACACACAAAAGAGAATTATGTAGTCGAAAGCACACTAGTGGATTGGAATCTGACTGGGCCATTCCCAGGCCTGTAGGAGTTGGCTGACTTGTGCACCACCTACCTGACCCTGACGCAAGAGGCTGGGACAGACAAAGGGCCAGGCCAGGGCATACAGGGTCAGTGCCCGAGCCAGAGTTCCTCAGCCATGGAACTGGGTGGGGGTCTGGGGCTGGTGCTGGGCCTGGTCATCACAGACTACTTTCTGCTCAACATCTGGTGTCACCAGTTCTCTGGTCTGCCCCTGGCCCAGCCCCTTGGCCCTTCTTGGGAAATATTCTTGGGGTGGATGTAGTAGACCTGCTGAAGTCTCTGAAGGAGGTGAGTTTGGGGGCCACATTCCATGAAAGACTGGGAAGGGGCTGAGATCAGGCCAAATTAGAGTTAGTTGAAGGAACTGAGGGTATTTAGCCCAAAGAAAATAAGATGGGGAAGAAGGCGTGTGTGTGAAACACAACAGCAATTTTCAAACATTGGAAGGACTAGCTGGTGGAAGAGGGATTAGATTCCTTCTATTTGGCCCCAGAACTGGGAGCCAAATAGGCAGAAGCTGTGAAGAAATCAATTTAAACTTGATGTTTTGGGAAATTTCCCCAACAATTAGAAACTACCCAAAAGGAAAATGAGCTAACTCAAGAAGTTTTGAGTTCTCACTTCCTAGAGGTCATAGGTTCATAAACAGACAACTGGAGGAGGCCTTGAAAGTATTCCAGTTCAAGCCCCTCATTTTACAGATGAGGAAACTGAGTCACAGGAAGGTTGAGTAACTTGTCCAATAAGTCAGAATTAGTGTTTGAACTCAACTTCTTTGACTTCAGAGCCAAAGTGATTAAAATGTCTAAATCCTTTGACCCAGACATTCCACCACTGAAATGACTTCCCCAAGAGAGTCAGTGATAAAAAGAAAATCCCTTCATAGAACAAAATATTGATAGCAGCACTTTTGTGGCAGCAACTCAGTGGAAACAGAGTAGATGCACGACAATTGTTGTTGTTTAGTTGTTTCAGTTGTGTCTGACTCTCCATGACCCCATTTGGGGTTTTCTTGGTAAAGATACTGCAGTGGTTTGCCATTTCCTCCTCCAGTTCATTTTATAGATGCAGAAACTGAGACAAGCTGGGTTAAGTGATTTGCCCAGGATCACACAGATAAGAAGTGGCTCAGGCCAGATTTGAACTCAGGTCCTCCTCTCTTATCTACTGTACCACCTAGCTGCCTGCCCAACAGTTACAGAATGGCTAAGCAAAGTGTGCTACCTGGATGCAATGGAACACGACAGTGCTGTAAGAAAAAACAAACATGATGAATACAGAGGAGCATGGAAAGACGTACATGCCCTGATGCAGAGCGAAGCAAGCAGAGACAAGAAAACAATATACACAAGGACCACAAAACAATCAAAAGTGACTGCTGCAAATTACCAAGAACAATCATGGCCCCAAAAAAACCCTGCAGAGATTGCAGGAGGGGAGGCCAGGAGGAGTGGAGCATCGCATATGATTTCAGATTTTTTGATGTATTGATTGGTTTTGTTGATTTTTTTTCTCTTCTTCCTCTTGTAAATTTTCTCTTTAAAAAAATTCATTGTTGTAAAGGAAGGCTCTGTAGGAGAGGAGGGAGATTTATATTCTTCCCTTGCACTAGAATCTTTGGGGCAGAAACACACCACTATCACCACCATCCCTGGATAAGATTCAGTTCAGTCATTACTGTCTTCTTGAGTCCCTTGAAATAGTCTTTAAAAGTTTCCATGGACTAGGGTCCTAAATCAATTCAACAAACAACATGCATTTATTAAACAATTATCCATTATACTCAAGGTCATACAAATTTAACCACCAGGTGGCACTGCTAACCAGTAACTTGACCCAGTTCAATGAGAAGACTCAAATGTTGAACTAATTCTATACTAATCCCAATATTTATGGTTCTATGCCCTGCTTGGGCAGAGTAGGGTGAGGCTGGGTCATGTTAGGGAAGCAACGAGCTTCCTGTGGTTCTCAGAGAGTACATGATATTCTATCCCCCATCTCCAATTCTTTATGGGTGACTGCACTGATTGTTTAAGTCTAAAGGACATAATTAGTGTGGATTTACCTAATCAGAATAATCTCCATGCTACCCCACCTTCTCCTTAATATCTCTTGGGTTTTGGAACTAGGAAAACAATTTATACAACGACAATAGCATTATGAAAGGAGGTGGGGAACAAACAAAAAACTTTGAAAGACTCTGGAACTCTTGAGTCGAGTAGTAAGGAACCGTAAGTCCAGAGAACTAAAGACAAAACATGTCATTCCATCTTGACATAGAGATAATGTATTTAACGTAATGTGGCATATATTTTTTACCAGAGCTAAAGTAGGGATTTGGGGGGGGGGGCAAATTATGCACATTTGTTCATTTTTTTGTTCTACACTGGCAAGGAGCAAATAATTAATGCTTGTCAAAAGTAGTTAATTAATTTTTGAACAAATGAGTTCTATTTTCCTTCAAAACTCAGCTCCAGTATCACTTCCTATAAGAAATCTAGCCGGATTCCCCTCTAACCTGCCCTTCCACCCTGTTACTAGTGCCTTTCTCTTGCAAATTACTTTGTGTATAATTTGTATTTAACTTTTTGTGTACTGTGTTTTTCCATCCAATAGAATGTAAGTTCCTTGAGGGCAGGGACTAAATAGTTTTTGTCATTATATCCTCAGCACCTAGCATAGAGCATGCATTTAATAAATACTTATTAACTGAATATTTACAAAGCACAAGTCATGTGACTGGCATAATGAAACTAACTCCCCACAGGAATTGACAGGAATACTTTGTTACTATCTACCTATGGCAATTTACTCTTAGCATGGAATTAATAAAGGCAATAAAATAATGCATATTAAAACATCTGCCCCATGACTGTGAGCCTGTAGGTTCTCATCTTCATTCATTCATTCACTTATTCATTCATTCATTCATTCTCCCTAACCCAGGCAGATTTCCAGACAGGTTACCACAAACCTAGGTGTTCTAGAAAGTGCACAGTTCAGTTTGCTTAGCACTCACAGCAGCTAATGTTGGACTCATTGCAGAGGCAGTCAAACAGACTATATACAAACTCATTTCAAGAGGGAGAGATTGATAACAATTAGGGGAAGGAGTCAGGAATGACTTGTGAAGGCAGTGGCACCTGAGCTTTGCTCTGAAGGAAGCTAAGGATGCAAAGAGGTGAAGGTGAAGGGGGAGCATTGCAGGAAGGAAGGACAGTCTAATCAAAGATGCACAGGTCAGAAGGGGAATGTTGAATACGGAGCTAACTGGTAGACTTGATAGACTAGAATAGAGAATGTAGGAAGTGGGGCAATAGGAAATGAGAGTTGGAGTTACTGGCAGAAGTCTACTTGTGGCAGACTTTATTGGCCAGACTAAGGATTTAAAATTTTATCCTAAAAGTCACAGAGGCATTAACACTTTCTGAGGAGGTGGGGTAGAGGCATCAACAAAAACCTACAGTGTGCCAAGCACTGTGCTAGTGGGGAGGAAGACACAAAGAAAAATAAAATCAGACCTCTGCCTCAAATAGTTTATATTCTATGGAGAAAGATAACATGAAAAGAAATAAATGAATTCAAAAGCATTGGAAGAGAGAGTGTGTTATCATGGTCAGATCTACAGCAAAACCAGAAACCACTTTGGCAATTACATAGAAGGTGAATTAGAAAGGAGAGGAACTAGAGACATGGGGGCCAATTAGAGGGTCAATGCCATAGTCCAGCTGAGCAGGGATTGAACTAGGTTAGTGGTTTGTGAATGTAGAAAAGGGAACAGAAGCTAGAGATGTTGGAGAGGTAGAATTGTCAGTATTTGGCAAAAGATTGAGTGTAGGGAGTGAGAAAGAGGGAAAAACCAAGGATGACGCTGAATTCATGATTTAAGAAACTTTAAGGATGAGATTTAGACCTTGAAATCAGGAAGACCTGGGTTCAAGTCCCACCCCAGACGCCTAATGGCTCTGTTACCCTGAATAAGTTATTTAACTTCTCCGGGTCTCTAGGCATTTCTCTAAGATTATAAATTGCAGAACAGCTGTCAACCTTCAATGGAGAGAATTTCATATACTAATGCAATCACAGGTTCAGGTCAATTTTAAAAAATCATCATATGTATATTTAGAGCGTAAGAGCCCTCTCTTCTCTCACTACACTTTGGAGGGCTGGGGAAAGTCTGAGCCAGGATTGAAAGAAGAAAGGAGAGTATCTCTGAAACATATCTTTCTCCCCCCCACCAGCTCAGCATCAAATATGGCCCTGTCTACACTTTTCATCTGGGCTCCCGCTCATGTGTGGTGATTGCTGGGTACCAGGCTCTGAAGGAAACACTCATTGACCGGGCTGAGAAGTTTGGGGGCCATGGAGAGTTCCCCGCTGTGCAAATGTGGAGCCATGGGGATGGTGAGTCAGTTCTTTGGGTGGACGAGAGGGTCTAAACTCAGATACTTAAGAGATCTCCATTAGGGAAAAATAATCAATCCATCAAAGGATCCTCCCTCATCCTCCACAATGCCCAGCCCAGGGAAAGCTTCTGATGGCCAGAGTAGGGGCAGCCCCAAGCCAGACCCTCAGCAAGGAAACTTCTTGTCTGGCTGGAGAAATGAGGCCCTCCCCTCCGCAGAGGGAACTGACTGAGAACCCTCCAGGTTGGAAGAGATCCCATTGCTGGAATAAGGGCTTGAGGCAAAGAAGGGTCACTGAGACTCAGGCAAAAAGATTTCCTGGAATGGGTGAGGGGAATGACCTAAAGGTCTAACTAGCAATTTTTGTGTCCAGAGGACAACAAAACACATTGAGGGCAAAAACAAATCTGGAAAGGAAGAGAGAGGGACAATGTGGAACAGAAGACCCTGTGAAGAGAGAGACCACAGACACAGACTCAGTGAAACCAGAGGTGATGGGAACCTGTTTTGGAGAGAACAGGGTGGGGCCAGGCCAGCAAAGACCTCACAAGAGGGACGAATTATTCTTGCCATCTGGTGCTCAATTGTTGGCAGCACCTTCCTGGGCCAGAACTCTCATTCTTTCCCTCCTACTCATGGCTCTGTAGGTCTCCAGGTTAGGAGAGGCGGAGGCAGGCTTGGAGGTAGAAATGGAGCTGGGCCTCTCTGTGTATCCCCCTCTTCACCTTAGGGACTGTGTATGGAAAAGGAGAACGGTGGAAGCAGCTCCGAAGATTCCCCATCTCCACCCTGAAGAATGCTGGCATGGGGAAGCGCAGCCTGGAGGAGAGAATGCGTGAAGAAGCTCGACACCTGTGTGAGGAGTTCCAGAACACAGGGGGTGAGAGCCAGCCTCGAGATCCCCTGAAAGGGGGCACATGGGTGCTTGGTAATCCCTCTCAGGAGAGGCAAGCGCCATTAGAATGGTCAAATTACGGATTTAGGGCTGAAAGGGCCCTCAAAGGCCATCTGATCCAAACCCCTGGTTTTATAGATGAAGGATCACAGGTACAAGAGAGATGAGGTGATTTGCTCCAAGGCCCTCCTGGCTATAAAAGGCAGAGTCAGGCAGGATTTGAACCCAGGGACTCTGACTCCAAACCAACCCATTTTCCATCAAACCACATGCAATTCCATTCAATACAATGATTAAAAGCCCACTACTGTAGGATAGGGGCAGCCAGATGACAAAGTGAATAGAATACTGCGCCTAGAGGCAGGAAGACTCATCCTTCTGAGTTCAAATCTGGTCTCAGAACCGTGTGACCCTGGGCAAGTCACTTTACCCTGTTTGCCTCAGTTTTCTTATCTGTCAAATGAGCTGGAGAAGGAAATGGCAAACCAGTATCTTTGTCAAGAAAACCCCAAATGGGGGTCATAAAGTCAGAGAGACTGAGAAATGACTGAACAAACAAAAAAATAGGGATAGGGGGATTCCCAGATGAGGAAATTCCCTTGAGCAAAGCAGGATGCCACCTTCTCTGTGAATTAAAGTCTCAGAAGGCTGCCCAGGGTCATAATATAGCAATGATGTGTCAGAGGCAAACCCGAGCCTTCTAATGTCAAAGTTCACTTGCTATCTACTACGCCATCCTATGTACAGTGAGGCAAAAGGCCCTGTGGCATGGTGGGTAGAGGCCTGCTTTGGAGTCCAGGCATCCTGGCTTCCAGTCTGACCTCCAACACTGTGCTAGCTGTGTGACCATAGTTAAGTTATCTGACTTCTCAGCGTCCCCAAGAAACTCACAAAGATTATGTTCTACTGCTTATCTCTACCCCTAGGAAGGGCTATGATGTACTTAGAGTCCTCAGAAGGAAAAATCAATGGGTGATTAGAAACCCCGGGGAAGGAAAGGGTACTTAAGTGCTTAGAGATCGCCAATTACCATAAAACTTTCCCTGATCCCTGGAAATTCTCCTTCCAAAAAGGTGCCCCCTTTGACCCCACCTTCTTCTTAAGCTGTGCGGGATCCAACATCATCTCCTCATTGGTCTTTGGGGACCACTTTGCCTATGATGACCCTAAATTCCTGGAGCTAATGGCCCTGATCAATGGCAACTGGAGAATCATGAGCTCCTTCTGGGGACAAGTAACTTGGGGAGCAGAGATATTGCCGGTGCAAGTCCCTTGGCTGTGCCTGCTAGGTGCCAGTTTCCTGCGGGTGAGAGCCTTCTCTCTGAAGCTCCTGTGCTTTCCTCTCTCATCCCTACCCCTTCACTACTCCCTTTCTTCTCCCTTCCAGTCCCTTAATGTGATAGAGCTCACTTTGCCACTCAGCCTCTATATATACCTGTCTCACAGATGTGAGTGACCTCATCTTCATAATTCTTAAAGCATCCCAAGGTCTGTGTAGATTGTTTATCCATCATTTTCTATGTAGCTTAAAGTATATAAAGCCCACAAGACTGAGGGAATGGGAATCAAAGGTTCCAAAGGATGACAAAGGTTAAAAAAAATTGCTCAAACTTTGCTTTTTTCTTAGTTTTGCATTTTTTCTGACCTTGCCTTTTGCCAATCTTTTTTCCTTGGTTTCAGACTATAGAACGTACCACCTACTCCCTAAATAATTCTCTCTTTTTACTTTCTGGAAAAACCAGTTCCTAATCCTGTTTGTTGACTGGTTGGAGGCAGTTTGGAATATTACAGGGGGGACCTTAAAAGTATATCAGAACAAGTGTCCTGGGACATCTGGAAAAAGTTAGCTAAGAGTACCATTTGGAGAATCCGCTCCACTTCCCCCAGCCATTGGGAAGATAAGAATGTCTCCTTCAAGACCAGGGTGTCCAGTTCTCTGAAAACAGAATTACTTTATAAATGGAAATCCAACCCCTCCTTACCCCATCTTGGGATAGATGCTAGAATCAGGGAAAACTGATGAGGGCATCAGAAGGCCATGTCTTCTCCCAGATATGAGGTTCTATTCTCTTCAGGATTCTCTTCCTGACTTGTCTCCTAGCTTGTAAGTTGGCCCTTACACAAAGTGGATGAACAGCCACCCCAAATCATCATACTGTCACAAGCCAAATAGAACTGCCCCATTTGGAAGTGCTTGGGGCCTATCTCAGTAGCTGTGCCTATATTTTGACATCAAACCAAGACTGGTCTGACTGCGCCACAAAATTTCATCCCAATAAATTTGGATTTAGATAACATGTCATCATCTTTTAAATAAGGCAGTTGCCTTGCCAAAATAAACAAATAAATAATACTAAAATCACCTTCTTCGAAATTATCTGCTTTGTTAAATAGTAGAGAAAACAGATTGGACAGTCTGATCACTTCCTTGACTTGGGTCCTCCAAACCCTCATCACAGGGAATAGGGACAAGGCCTTAAGGGAGTCCGATGACTGTCCTTCAAGGCCCCAGCTCTCTGGGATTGAGAGCCTGCCTCACAACTTCTGCTTTCTTCCCTACCGGATCGCCCGTCTTGCTCTCCTGCTAATTCCCTGACCTTCCTTTACCTACCTCCTTACACCCACTTTTTTTTCCGGCACCCCACAGCTCCTCTTCATATTTCCAAAGATCACGGGTCTACTCCCAGGGCCACACCGGCAGATTTTCCGCAACTCTCTGAAACTAGAGGCCTTTGTCAATAACCGTGAGGCTAAAAATCGGAACTTCCTGGACCCAGCCAATCCCCGGGACTACATCGACTGTCTCCTGATCAAAATGGAACAAGTAATACATGAGAGACAGAGCAATCTACACCCCCCGGGAGACCCTTTCCCCATGTACACAGGGAGGAGCCCTTAGAGAAGCAAGATTTGCCCTATTAGAGAGCTCAGCTACCCGAGAGCAGATCCACATCCAAGAGATGCATCTTGCCCCGTAGAAATAGGACCGCCCCCAAACTCAGATCACTCCTCCTAGAGAAAGATCCCTGAAAACAAAGCCCCGCCCCTTTTGACAGAGCCCACTGCTTGATTCTAAGCCCCCTTTCCCCAAGTTCAACCTGTGTCTGATTCATATTTCCCTCCTTCAGGAAAAGAATAACCCCCAGAGTCACTTCAATGCTCAGACTCTTTCTAAGATAGCAGTCAATCTGTTCTTCCCAGGGACAGGAACCGTGAGCTCGACTCTTCGCTACGGACTCCTCATGCTTCTCAAACACCCCGATGTGGAAGGTGAAAAACCCTTCCAAATCCACCTTCTTCTATGTTCCAGGCCTTGTGCTAAGTGCTGGGGATTTAAAAGAAAGGCACAAAACAGCCCCAAGGAGGGTACATTCAAATGGGGGAGGGGAGGGACAGCTAGGTGGCACAGTGGATAAAGCTCTGGCCCTGTATTCAGAAGGATCTGAGTTCAAATCCGGCCTCAGACACATAGCACTTACTGGCTGTGTGACCCTGGGCAAGTTACTTAACCCCATTGCCTAGCCCCCCTCCTCCAAAAAAAGAACCACAAATGAGGGAGGGGAGACAATTTGTAAATAATTAGGTACAAACAAGATCTAGCCAGAATAGATGGAAAGAAATCTGAATGGGAAAGGCAGTAGTGGCTGGTGGTCCTGGAAAGGGGTCCTGCAGAAGGTGGGATTGGAGCTGAGCCTTGAAGAAGTCCGGAAGCTAAGAGCTGGAAGTGAGGGGTCAGATGCCCCTCCCAAGTGTGGGACACAGTGAGTGCCAAGGCAAGAGATGGAGAGTTGTGTTCAAGGAATTTCAACTAGGTCAGGGTAGCTGATTCCTGGAGTTCATGGTAGGGAATTAGGCATAAGCCGGAAAAAGTTAGAAGGAGCCAAGTTATGAAGAACTCTAAAATGACACAGAGAGGATTTTTTTGATTTATTTGATCCCGGAGGTAACAGGGAGCCAATTAAGTTTTTCGAGAAGAAAGATTCAAAAAACCTGCATTTTAGGAAAATCACCTTGGCAGCTGAGCGGAGGGAGGATAGATTGGAGAGGGGAGAGGGGATATGAGGCAGGGAGACCGTTTAGGCAACTATTACAGTAGTTCAGGTGAGAGATGATAAGGGTACCAAGTAGAGTTGTAGTAAATACGGTCTGTTAGAAGGTGCTGTTCTGGGTTTGGAGGCAGGAAGAATTGAGTTCAAATCTTTCCTCAGACATTTACAAGCTATATGACCCTGGATGAGTCACTTTACCTGCTTAGCTCAGTTTCCTCAACTGTAAAATGGGCATAATAATAACTCCTTCACGGTGCTGTTGTGAAGAAAAGATGAGATAAGTGGAAAACTCTTTGCAAACTATATCATTGCTAGCTGTTATTATGAGTGAGGAACTTATATCTTGACTCTGCCTCTGGGGCAATGAAACACATCTCTTCCACATGATAGGCCTTCAAATGTTTGAGCAGACCCACCACATTCCCCACCCCACCCCCAGTCTCCTTTTCTCCAAGCTCCTTTGGAATCAAATGCTTGTATGGCGCATTGGGCATATTTGAGACCCTTCACCACCTGGCTTTAATGCAGTCTCCTAGCTTTCCTTTCTGCCAATATCACCCTGTTGACTCATATTGAGCAAGCAGTCCATTAGAGCTCCCAGATCTTTTTCCAACAAATTTCTGTCTCATCTCATGCTTGCAAAGTTGCATTAAACATCTAAACTTTCCATGGGAAGACTTCTAGACATCCAAGTGTCTCTCTCTGTTTGACAGTCCTAGGATCATAGATGTAAGCCTAGAAAGGGAAATTTTAGTATACAACCCCTTTATTTTACAGATGAGGAAACAAGGCCCATAGAGTCAAGAAAGTCAAAGGATTTTCCCAGGGTAGTGTCAGGGATAGGATTTGAACCCAGGTCCTCCAGTTCTGCTGATGGTCTAACGTCAGGATTCCCAAACCCATCTCAATGGCCCAGGTCCCAAATTCTGTGTCGGGATTAGGAATGGATGATATAACATCTTTGAAAGAATTGGAAATTCTGAATGCCGTAATGATTAACTACAATTCCAGAGGACTAATGATGAAACATGCTACCCATTTGCTGATAGAGAGGTGAAGGACTCGGAAGGAAGAATGAGACAAATCCTTTATTTTGGGGCTTGGTCAAAAGGGAAATTTATTTTGATTGACTCTACATGTTTGAAATGGATTTTGTTTTTCTGTTCTCAGTTGGGGTGGATGGTTGTGGTGGGAGGGTGAGAAGGAAGATTTTAAAACATAAAATTTTAAGAGTGGATGACCCCAATCATCCCCTTTTCATATCTGTCCCCTTCCCTAGCCCGACTCCACGAGGAAATTGATGAGGTAATTGGGCCAAGCTGGCTCCCCAGCATGGAGGACCGGGCCAAAATGCCCTATATGGATGCTGTCATCCATGAGATCCAGCGCTTTGCAGACATTGTCCCAATGTCAGTGCCTCACACAGTCACTCGGCCCACCACATTCCATGGCTACCACCTCCCCAAGGTAGGGCCCCAGCATGAGGAGGGAGCTCTGTCTCATCCCCAAAACTCACTCCTGGCTTCCCTGCTCAGACTCTATCACCACTACCCCTCCATCTCTGCCAGTAATCTATCCCCAATCATAGCCCATTCCACTGTACCCATTACACCTCAAAACACCATCACAAGACTGGAGAAAGCCAGAGCTGGAAGGACCCTCAGAAATCATCTAGTCTTGCCCCCATCCTTTATGTTTTTTTTACAGAGAGGGAAACTGAAGCTCCAAGAGAGAAAGGGATCTGCCCAAAGTCACACTTTCAGTAGTGAATGGCAAAGCTAGTATTTGAACCCTAGGTCTTCTAACTCCAAGTCCATTGCTCAGTTTCCAGGACACCAATGCACCTCAGCCATGACCCCTTGCAGACACTCAGACCAGTGCATCTAGGAGGCTGATCACCCTCCTCTGTGCCCTGGGGGCTCTCAAGAAGCTACCTGGACCATGTCTCTGAGCTCCCCATCTCTCATTCTCTATACCCCCAGGATTTGAACATCATTCCCCTGCTGCGTACAGCTCACTTTGACCACACGCAGTTCAAAGACCCGGAGAAGTTCAACCCTGAACACTTTCTGGATGAACAGGGAAGATTTAATAAGAATGAAGCTTTCCTGATCTTCTCTGCAGGTTGTAGCTGAGTCTCCCCATTCCTCAGTCTCCTCTGCCCCTCAGTCTCTCCTCTATCTCTCTCTCAGTCCCCTTCTCTATCCCTCAGTCTCTCCTCTATCTCTCTTCTCTGCCCCTCAGTCTCTCCCTCTCTCAGCCCCCCTCTCTGTCTCTCAGTCCCCTTCTTTATCCCTGTCTCTCCTCTATCTCTCTCTCTGCCCCGTCTCTCCTCTATCTCTCCTTCTCTGCCCTTCAGTCTCTCCTCTCTCTCCCTCTCTCAGTCCCCTTCTCTATCCCTCAGTCTCTCCTCTACATTTTCTCTCTCAGCCCCCCTCTCTCCCTCTCTCAGTCCCCTTCTCTATCCCTGTCTCTCCTCTATCTCTCCTTCTCTGCCCCTCAGTCTCCCTCTCTCAGCCCCTCTCCATCTCTCTTCTAGATCTCCTCTATCTCTGCCTCCTCTCTGTCTCTCAGTCTCTTCCCTGTCCCTGCCCCCTGCCTTTTTTTTTCCTATTCCTCCTCAGATCCCATGTCTCTCCCTCCATTTCTCAGCTTCCTTATTCCTGTGTCCTCTGCTGCGTCCCTCAGTCCCTTGTCTCTGTCTTATCCTCTCCTGGTTCCTGCCTCTTTCCTTTCCCTCTGTTCTTCAGGTTCCCCTGGCCCCTCACCCCCTCAGTGTCCCCCTCTTCTCTCCCCAGGGAAGCGGCTGTGTCTGGGAGAAGGCCTGGCCCTCACCGAGCTCTTCATTTTCCTCACGAGCCTCCTGCAACGCTTCTCTCTAAGCATAGATGGGCCCAGGGATGCCTTAGACTTATTGCCTGAATCCCAGGGCTTGGGCAGTCTCCCTAGGCCCTACAAACTCTGTCTGCTGCCCCATTAATCTAGGACCCTGGGCCTCTTCACCTCTGGATGCCCCTTCATTTCCTGGGATCTGGAACCCCTTGATCACCTCTAGAGACCTCTGTTTCCCTGGGGTCTCCTCCCAAACTCCAAGGAGCCCCCAGGAATCCACATCATTTTGGGACCCTCACTTCCCCCAGGAATCTGGGTTCCTTTATACCCTTGCTTTCACTTAATCCCAGCAGTCTCTAAAATTATGAAGATTCCCTAGTCACCCTAGATACCTAAACCACATCATTTCCAACCTCCCCCTCAGTTCTGGGAACTCCTTTAGAAATCCCTGTGGTGGCCCTGTGGGCCACCCACTCAAATTCCCAAGTTTCTGCTGAATATGCAATACCTCCCTTCTACCCCTAGAAGGAAGTCGGCAGCTAGATAGCCAGAAGACCACTGAAAGCCAAGGGAATTTCCTACTCACATTGAGCCCTGGCAACCCAGGCTCTCCACCCTCTGCTTCTCTGCATTTCTAGCCCAGCTCAGCTTGGCCCAGTCTATCCAGGATCAAGGGGTGGCCATGAGCTGGAAGGAGAACCCAAGAGTAAGGGAATAGTTGGGAGGCTCTGAGACTGGATGCAAGAAGGCTCAGAAGACTCAAGGAACCTCCAGCCCTACCAACTCCTCCTCAAGTTCCCCTCCCACGGCCCTGCCAGAGGAGGTAGATCTGAGACACTTAATCCAGTAGTCTTCTACCACCCTGTAGCCTGCCCTGACCTGCATCCCATCAAGGGATTTGTGGGGAACACCCAGTCCCACCTCATCTCAAGGATCCTCCTATTTTGATATGTACACCTTTTCCCGGCCTCTGCCCCCTACAGCAAGATGGCAGAGCTCAACGATAAAAAGGAATTCCTCCTAAAAGCCACATGACCCTCTGGCCCAGGCTGCTGTCCGAAGACCCCATAGCTTAGAGAGGAGAGAGGCAGAGGAGTTATCTGGACTCTATGGGGATTGGCAAAAACACATTTATTGTTCCAACACCTCACCCCACCACCCACATCCACCCTTCTATCTGATCCTGGGAATGGTGGCTCAACTAACCAGTCTGGGTATTGCTCCAAGGATAGACTTTTGACCCTTTACTGCTCCCTTCCCCTCTGAACCTCTCTGATGACTGACTCCTCCTTTGGCCATCTGGACCCCAGACCTCCAATTGCCCTCGCTCCCTCCCTCCCTTGGATCCCAGATCTCAAGCTGCCATCCTTCTTTCCCTTGGTCCTCAGACTCACTCCCTCCTTTGGACCCCAGACCCCTCAACTTCTGGGTGTTGGTATCTATACATCTCCAACATTCTGGCCCCAGAGCTTGAGTCAAAGACAAGATCCAGCTGCAATGGAGGTAACAGAGGCCTGGTGCTGGTCAGTGGCAATTCCTGCTTGTGCAAAATTAAAAATCCTTATGTTCTGCACGTACCCAATTGTTTTGTTTCGTAAGAAAGCTTTGTCTAGCATAGGCCAAGAGTTCATCGGCATCCTTCATCCTGCCCTGCTGTCTCTCTAATGAGGGGCTGTAGATCATCTAGTTCTCTTCCCTTATTCCCACTCCCAACTGCCTTGAGTCTTACTGAAAGTCCTCCAAGGGCATGTAGGATCCATTTGGGAGAGACAGAGAGACAGATCTAGGCTGAGAGAGTGACAAAACAGGGAGAGACAGAGTGACAGAGATGGAGAGAGACATATGGGAAGAGAGAGAGTAAGGCTTAGAGGAGTCCTTTGAGAAACACAGAGTAAGAGTGAGAGACAGAGACAGGGAGGGACAGTGTGAGGTTGAGGGAGTGACAAAGACAGAGGCAGAGATAGATGCACCTGGAGGGACAGACTAGGACTGAATGACAGAGACAGAGAGACAGGGAAAAAACACATGGAGTGACAGAGTGGGGCTAAGAGACAAGAGAGACACAGGAAAAGAGACAGTGAGGCTGGGAGAGAGACAGAGAGAAACAGAGACAGATAGGCAGACAGACAGAGAGGTAGACAGAAAGGAAAGGTAGAGATAGAGATGCGAGAGCTAGAGGGACACTTAGAGAGACCATTACTGAGAAAGATTAGGAGAGGATACAGAGAATAACCAGGGGAAAGGAGAAGGGGTGGGAAAGGGAGGGGAGGGGAAGGGGAGGGGAGAGAGAGGGGGGAAGAAGAAGAAGGAGGAGAAGAAGAAGAAGAAGAAGAAGAAGAAGAAGAAGAAGAAGAAGAAGAAGAAGAAGAAGAAGAAGAAAAAGAAGAAGAAGAAGAAGAAGAAGAGGAAGAAAAGAGGAAAAAGAAGAAGAAGAAAGCAGGGATGACCCCCTTTTCAGTCCCTAGTGAGAAGGAACCACCTCCATCACTTAACAGCAGAGAAACAGAGGCCTAGTGCTGGTCAGTGGCAGTTCCTGCTTGTGCAAAATTAAAAATCCTTATGTTCTACATGTACCCAATTGTTTTGTTTCATAAGAAAGCTTTGTCTAGCATAGGCCAAGAGTTCATTGGCATCCTTCCTCCTACCAAACCCAAGCTTGCACAATGCCTTCACCACCCCTCCCTACCCACTACCCCCCCCAAGTCTGTCTTATGTGGCCTTGGCCTTATTTCTACAGTCTTTAGTGTCACATTATAAGCCCTAATGCGGAAATATTTTTTTGTATGGCTTCATATATGTAATGAGTATCACATTTCTTTGCCTTCTTGATGGGTAGGGGAGGGAGTAAAGGGAGGGAGAGAATTTCGAACTGAAATTAAAATTTTAATACAAATTTTAAAAAAAAGAAAGGGGGAAAAGCATTAAAAGCCCACAGTGGTCTTGGGGAGCGTCCTCCTTCTTTCTTCTCATCCTTCTCTCCTACCCAAAAAGAAGTCAGGAAAGGGGGGGGTGGTCTCCCTGAGGCCCCTGGCATTGTATTAGCAGCTAAAGCAAGCAGGCCCAAGGTTAGACCACAGGCAAGCTTTTCCTGAGTAGGGTTGACAGAAAGGGTATGGGGAGGAGCAGGATACAGCAGAAATCAGGTCAAGCTCAAGGGCTAAAGAGCCAGGGATTGAGGATTGAATCCAATAATTGGCTGACAGCCCAGGCCCCTAGGGCAGGCTACAAGGGCTCAAGGCAATTCAAGGCAGGATTAAAGGTCAGCATCTAGATAGATAAAGGGGGACAGGGAGGAGAAGAGGGGAGGATGGCTTTAAGAAGGGCAGCCTCCTGGAGCCACATCCCAGAGGTGCTGAGACCCACATAAGACACAAGACAGCTTGATCCAAACACACCTCAGCTCCTTCTTTCCCCAGGTCAGGCTCCCCTCAGCCCTGCAGGTACCTGGAATTGGGGGTGGGGGTGGGGAGTGTGAGGAGTATCACTTGGTCTCTGTCTCCCTGCTTTTATATCTTTGCTCTTTGAGTCTCTTGTTTTCTTTTCTCCTTATATCATTCTTTTTCTCCGGAGTGTCTTGATCCTTTTATCTCTGGGTTACATGGCAATTTAGCTACCCATCAAACTTAATGAAGATTGGGTCTCTGTACTTTTGATCCTTCTCTGTTCCTCCTCCTGCTTTTCTCTCTTTCTCTGAGTTTCCGTCTATCCCTTTCTCTCTGTGTAACCTCTTCCTGTCTCCTCGCCACCCTCTCATTTTCTTTCTTTTCCTTCCTTCTTTTTTTCTTCTTTTCCTCCTCCTCCCTGTCTTGTTTCTCTCATCTATCTCTCTATGTCTTTATTTGGCTCTCCCTTGTTTTCTGTTTCTCCCATCCTTTACCTGTTCCTGTTCTTTTGTGTCTCTTTTGCTGCCAGTCTATCTCCCTCTGTCCCTGTCCCTATCTTTGTGTCCCCTTCTATGTCCCTGATTCTCTCTGTCCCTATCTTTCTTTCTGACCCTCCCTCTTTCTCTTCCATTTCATCTCTCTCTCTCTCTCTCTTGTCTCTGCCTCTCTTTAGTTATTTCTGCCCCTATCTTTTCCTGTCTCTTCATTCATGACTCCTATCTTATTTCTCTCTCTCTCTCTCTCTCTGAGACAAACAAACCCAAACCAATAAAACCAATATCCCTTCACCTCCCTATTCTCTCTCTCTCTCTCTCTCTCTCTCTCTCTCTCTCTCCATATCTCTGCTCTGTGTTCACCTCTCTCTTCTTTGTGTCTCTCAATGTAACCATCTCTCTTCCCCATGTCTCCCTGCCTCTCCCTGTGTTTTCTCCCAGTCGTTTTCTATCTCTGTCTTTTTCTTCCATTCCCAAACTATACCCCTGTCTGTCTGACTCTCTGTTTCCCTCTGTCTATATCTGTCTCTCCCTGGGTGTCTGTCTCTGCCTGTTAGCCTGCCTCTCTATGTCTGCCTCTGACTCTCTTTTCCCCTCTGCCTTTCTGCCTCCCTTATTCACTGTCTCCCTGGGTGAGTGTTTCTCAGTTCCTCTCAGTATGTCTCCATCTGTCCATCCATCTCTGTCTCTGTCTGTCAGGATCTTGCTGCCTATTCTTTCTGTCTGGTTGCCTTCATGTGTTTCCAGGCTCTGACCCTTTATGACTCTGTGCCTTGAGACTCACGCAGCCCCTAGGAAGGGAAAGAAGAGGTCCGTGAATGGTGTGATCTAGCCAGTAACACTCGAGCCTCTGCCTCTGCCCTCCGATATGAACAGGAGCCTCCAACATGGACTGGATAGGGGCAGTGCTGCTGCTGCTACTAAGCATCACCTGCCTACTGCTGGCGAAGGGAGCCCACAAGACCAAAGGTCGCCTGCCTCCAGGGCCCAGACCCCTGCCCCTGCTGGGTAACTTACTGCAGCTCCGATCTAGAGACATGCTGGCCTCACTCACGAAGGTCAGGGTCAAGGTTGGGCAAGGTTGTGGGGTTTGGGGGACAAGACAGAGAGGATGGGATGGAAAGAAGGGAGGATGCCAAGAAGCCCAGAGAGGCTGGGAATGAGCAAAGACACCTGGGTCTCTACCCCATTGACCTTCTATTTCCACTTCCCACAGCTGAGTCAGGAGTATGGTCCTATATTCACTGTACACCTGGGCACTCGGCCCGTGGTTGTCCTAAGTGGATATGAGGCAGTCAAGGAGGCTCTGGTGGACAAGGCAGAAGAATTTTCGGGACGTGGGGAGTATCCAGTTTTTCATGACTTCACAAAGGGCAATGGTGAGGTTCCCTCCCCTGCTTCCCTTCAGCCTTTTCCTGCCCCTCACCCAACCCTAATCCCAGCTCCAGTTTCAAGCCCTCCCCCTTCCTTAGGAGTCCTCAGGACTGGGAACCACTGAGCCAAGCCTCATTCTCTTCTCAGGCATTGCCTTCTCCAATGGGGAAAAGTGGAAGGTCTTGAGGCGATTTTCCATCCAGATCCTTCGAAATTTCGGGATGGGAAAGAAAAGCATTGAGGAGCGAATCCTGGAAGAGGAAGCTTTCCTTCTGGAGGAACTGAAAAAAACTGAAGGTAGGTGACAACCCCCCCCAAAACACACACACCCTAGAGCGGCATAGGACTCAGCCTGGCACTCACCAAGCCCCTGCCCCTCCCCCGTCCTCCTGCCTGCTCTAAACAGGATTGCCTGTTTTAGAGTGGAGTCCTCTATTGGGAACATTCTGATGTTCCACGGGCTGCTGCTATACATCAATGTGTGTTGTCACTACATTTGTTACTACAAGGTTATGTTATTTAGAGAAATACTATACAGTGGGTTTTCAGAGCTGTTTGTTGTGTTTTACTGGTTGTCAGGTTTCTTCTTGGGTAAGTGGGGCATGGTAATTGCTACTGCCAGAGATGAACAATCAATCAACTGATAAGCATTTATGAAGCACCTACTATGTGCCAGACACTCTCCTAGGTGCTAGGAATACAAATGCAAAAAATCTCTGCTCTCAAGAAACTTGCATTCTGTGAGGGTTTCATGTTGCTTAGCAGCCTGCTGTCCTGCGGTTTAGAGTTCATTTTTGCCTCCCTACAATGAAGTCAGTTACCTTGTATCTTATCAGTGCTTTGTCTCTTGTGTTACATTGCAAAATGTTCATGTCCTCATGTTCTTACTTGATGATATCAGCTGCATTTTGGGACAGGACTTGTTATCAGGTGACATGTTGCAATTAGATTGTGCTATTGTATGGTGCAGTAGTGTGTTGCATTATTTTGTGCTGTGCCTCCTTGTCTAAGGTGGTATTGGGCTGCATCAACTTAGTGGACTCTTGTCCTCTGATAAATTATTGTACCTGAGTTGCTGCATCTTGCTGTGAGTCAGAGAGTGGGGAGAAATTCCAGGAAATCACCCAATGGACACCTAAGAGCAGCCCCAGGCTTCTTTCACTTGGTTGCTACGGTTCCTCCAGCTCCCATCACCCTGTCAGTCCCTCTCCTCCCATTGCTCTATGACTTTTAACCTCCCCTAAACACTGCTCCCCAAAGGTATCTTGTACTTTTGCTCTACCTGGCTTCTCATAACTTAATCATAACCACAGAGGGGGCAGTTCAAAGCCTCTCCATGCATTTTAGAGAAAGAGGACAAAAGTACACATTTACAGAAGGGAACTTAGAACACAGAATGTCAGAACTGGAAGGGTCCTTAGAACAGAGACTCTTAAAGAAGAAAGTGCCCTTAGAACATGGAATATTAGAGCTGAGAAGGACCTTAGACTATGGCATGTCAGAGCAGGGAGGGATGTGAGGACACAGAAAGTTCAATGGGTTACCCTGTAACCCAGCAACCCTGCTGACCTTCAGGTCTCTGGCCCCCAGGTGCCCCCTTTGATCCCACCTTCGTGCTCAGCCGCTCAGTGTCCAACATCATCTGTTCAGTCATCTTCGGCTGCCGCTTTGACTATGAAGATGAGCGTCTGCTCAAGATTATCCAACTCATCAATGACAACTTTAAGATCATGAGCAGTCCCTGGGGGGAGGTGTGCCTGGGCAGACACAGCTGGTAGGGGGTGGAGAAGATGGAGCCTGCAGAGGCCACTGAGGGTTCCTAGGGGACCCAGAGGACAGAGGGATAGGGAGGATGGGGAGACCCCTCTCTAAACTACCTCTTCCTCCTTCACCCCAACTCAGATGTACAACATCTTCCCTGGCCTCTTGAAATGGATCCCAGGCCCCCACCACCGCCTCTTTCAGAACTTTGGGTGCATGAAGGCCCTCATCGACCACAGCATCCATGAGCACCAGGCCAGGCTGGACTCCAGCTGCCCCTTGGATTTTATTGATTGCTTCCTTATCAAGATGGCCGAGGTAGGGCCTTCTCCAGATTCCCTTCCCAGCCCCTCCAGGGTTCCTGGAGGAACCTCCAGGGTCTTCCCACATCCAGCACCTGAGAAATCTATGATTCTGGTCTCTAAGAGATTCAAGTGCTCCGATTCTCTGTACTTCAGCTACCTAAGAACCTCAAATTCCCTCGTTTTAAGAGCCTAATAGTCTATGATTCAGAGCAGAATTGCAAGGAGGAATGTTTCTGCCTAAGGCACAAGCCACCACCATACAAGAGGCATAGCATTTTCAGCGGATTAGAGTGACTAGAGAGAAACTCAGGCTAGCAAGCTACTCAATAGCTTGCTAGTTTAATTTTTCTCGATAAGTTCTGAACACTGTTGTTTCCATGCTGCTGGAAGGCTACAAGTGTCAGGCACTCTCTAACTTTGACAGCCTAAAGAGAAGCTCTGGTCACCATACTCTAGTAACAGCCTCTGAGTCTATGTTTCTGTATTTCTCTGCTTCTAAGAATCAAAGATTTGAAAAGTCTAGCATTCTATGATCCTAAGACTCTAAAAGTCCAAAGTTCTATAGGTCTAAGTTTCTATGAGCCCAGAGAGTTTCAAATTCTGTTAATTCTGAGAGCCTACCACCCTATTGGGCAGCTAGGTAGCACAGTGGATAGAGCACTGGGCGTGGAGTCAGGAAGACCCAAGTTCAAATATGGTCTCAGACACTTACTAGCTGTGTGGCCCTGGGCAAGTCACTTCACCCTGTTTACCTCAATTTCCTTACCTGTAAAATGAGCTGGAGAAGGAAATGGCAAACCATTCCAGTATCTCTGCTAAGAAAATCCAAAATGGGGTTTCATGACTGAACAACAACCACCACCATCCTGTTATTACATAAACCTCTAAGTTCCTGGGAAATTTTTCTCCTAGAATCAGAGAAGTATACCAGTTCTCCACCTGTCCCTTCCTTCCATTCAGGTCTTTCCACCCCAACTTGCAATGCATTCATTCACTCATCTGTAAAATGAAGAGCAGGATTCAATTTCTAAGATTCCTTCCAGCTCTGCTATTTGCCAAGTCGATCCAAGAATCACCAAATTTATGATTTAGGCATAAGTAGGGATGGTTTGGGTGTAGGAAAGAGGGGACATGGAGCCAGTAAAGGAAGAGAATCAGGCAAGAAGGTCAGAATGATGAAGAAAAGGGGGGAGCTGAGATTGCCTGGCCCTAAGGATCCTAGAGAGCCCTTCCCCAAACTCTGCCAATTGAGGCTGATGGCTGGTTGGCTCAGGACCCAGAGTGGCAAGGTTGAGGGGCGTGGGAGAAGTGGAGCAGGGTAGAATTGGTTCTTATTCCAGTTAGAAAGGTGTTGAAAGCATGAGGCAGCTCAGGCAATTTGCCTGACATATGTCTGGCAAAGAGAAGTGAACGAGGGAGGGGAGTAGAGGAGATGTCAGAGAAAGGCAGAGCCAGAGGCACGGAAACAAACAAAACCAGAGGAAAAGGGCTTAGGAAGGGACTGAGTAGTTCACTCACCAGAGCTTTGTCTCAGCCTCCCAAATCTGCCCCAACACCCACCTCAGCAGGAGGAAGGAATGGGTTCCCTTGTCTTGGTGCTACTTCACTGGGACACTGGGGTGGGGGAAGGAGCAAATCAATGGCTTTGAAGGTTGGAGAAGGAAGGGAAAGGGATGTGATGCTTTGGTTTTCCCTCCACACCCCCATGGAAGCACAGGCTGGATTCTGGGCTGTGGTTATTTGTTGTCCCCTCACCCCCACCAACCTGCCATCCCCACCTGCCCAAGGTATCAGGATTACTATTTCTGGCTTGAAGGGGGTGGGAGTAGGGGCAGAATCAGCCTTGCTCTGTCCTCAGGAAGCCCAGAGGCCGGATAGTCACTTCCACATGGAGACGCTGGTGAAGACAACGCACAACCTCCTTTTTGGTGGCACAGAGACCGTGGGCACCACGCTGCGCCATGGCTTCTTACTTCTCATGAAGTATCCTCACATTCAGGGTGCGCTCCTACCTCTGTCAGTGCCCGTGCTCCTCATGCCCCTTGCCCCGCTCCGTTCCCTCGCTCTCCTGCCCACTGGCCATGCCCCTGTCCCCGTGCCTCCCCAGACACCCCACCTCCGTGCCTCTAAACAGCCCAGTCGCCTGCCTCTGGCCCTAGACCAGGAGAAGAGGGAAGAGAAGAGAGGTTAGAGGGTAGGGGACAGTCGAGGCGGAGAGAGGGAAGGGGCCATGGCTCACTGGCGCGTCGCGTCCGTGGGGCCGTGCCTCCTGCAGCCCGGGTACAGGAGGAGATCGACCGCGTGGTGGGACTGGGGCGACGGCCGACCCTGGAGGATCGCTCGGCCATGCCCTACACGGATGCGGTGCTCCACGAGGTACAGCGCTTCGCAGACGTCATCCCCATGAACTTGCCGCACCGAGTCACCCGCGACACGGCTTTCCGCGGTTTCATACTACCCAAGGTGGGGCCTCAGCCGCGGACTCCCGCGGGACGCAGAGCGTCCTGGAACCCAGCCTCGAGCCCCCAGCCCTCCCTGCCCTGTTTTCTCCTCCCTTCGCCTCCAGTGGAGCAGCCGTCCGTAGCTTCATGCTGCCGGAGTGGACCAGTCTCGGACCTGTGTGGGACCCAGGAGTTCGAGAACCCAGCCCTGACCCCCTCACTTTTCCCTCCTCTCCCTTCGCCATCTTTTCCCCTCCCCCACCTGCTCCGCCTTGATGGGACAAGACTTCTTGAGCCCGTCTATGGGTCCACCCTTTCGCCCAATTACAAAACCCAGACCCGGTCTTTCTGCCCTGAAACCCTAAATAAACTCCCAGCCTGGCTATCACCCCCAGCCCAGGACTCAAATCCTGGCAATGCCAACCCCAGGCCCCCAGCTTTCTGGAGCTTGACAAGCAATCGAGTAACAAGCATTTATTAAACAGTTACTTGCTTACTATATGCCTGACCCAGTGCCCAGCACTGGGGATGCCAAGAAAAAATGAAAACCTGGCCCTGACCCTCCCGTCCCCCAATCCTTCCAGCCCCACCTAAGCCTCACCAGCCTTGGACCCGGACTGTTCCCATTCCCCTTCCCCTGTGGAGAGGGATCCAAGTGTTCCAGCTCCCAGTCCTTCCCACCTCCCTCCAGGGCACTGAGATCATCACCCTCCTCAACACCGTTCACTACGACCCCAGTCAGTTCCAGACACCCAATGAATTCAACCCTGCCCACTTCCTGGACTTCAAGGAAGACTTCAAGAAGAGCCCGGCTTTCATGCCCTTCTCTGCTGGTGGGTGTTTCACCCAAGGGCTCAGCCTCCAAGCTTCCCAAAACGGCCATGGTAAAATGCAAAGAGTGCTAGAGTCAGAGGCCCTGGGTTCAAATCCCAGCTCTGCCAGCTACAGCTTGTGTGACTTCCAGGAAGTCCCTTCCTTTTCTCATTCTGTGATTACCCATGATCCCAGCTACCTGCAGCTTCTCTCTCTCTGCAGGGCGACGCCTGTGCCTAGGGGAACCTTTGGCCCGCATGGAGCTGTTCCTTTACCTGACAGGCATTCTGCAGAACTTCACACTACAGCCCCTGTGCCCCCTGGAGGAAATCGATGTGACCCCCCTCAGCTCTGGCCTAGGCAATGTGCCTAGACCCTTCCAGCTCCGAATGCTGCCCCGATAAGCCCACACACTGGCCAAAGGCCACTCACTCTATTCCCATCCCTCTCATTAAACCTGCCTTGTCTCTCTCTGTTCCTTAATTGTCCCTCCTACACCCTCTGGTTTCCCCCACATCTCTCAGTCTGTCCCCTCTTTTAGTCCTCTTTCTCTCTCTCTCTCTCTCTCTCTCTCTCTCTCTCTCTCTCTCTCTCTCTCTCTTTCTCTCTCTCTCTCTTCCCCTTTCTCCCTAAGACTCTCCTCCCATGCACACTGGCCATCTGACCCTGGCCACGTTATTTTACCTCTTGGTGGCCCCCAGCCAATTCTCTAAAGACCATAGGACAAAGAGCAGGTGCTGATCTGCCCTACTAAAGAGAGTTTTCTCACAAAGGGGATGAAATCACAAACCCTGACCAAAAATGAGCAGCTAGAGAGCATCCAGACAAGGGCAGCCAAGCCAGGGGAGGGCCTCTGGATCATGCCGTATTGATCCATTTTGATAGCAACTCCCCATTTTGAACCTGGAGCAGAGAAGGCTTAGGGGGAACATGATAGCGTTTACCTTGTAGTAGAAGGATTGGATTTGTTCTGTTTAGTCCCAAGGGGCAGAACTCAGAGTAACCTGTAGCTGTTGCAAAGAAGCCAATTTAGATTTGATGCCAAGAAAAGTTCCTCACAGTTAGAGCTGCCCACCAAGGGAAATGCACACCTCCCTCGAGGAGCTGGAGGTCGTCAAGGACAGGCCAGAGGGATGACCACTTAGGGGGTGTATTAATTGGCTATGTGCCAAGCACCTTCCGAAGCATTTTACACTTATTTTTTCATTCGACCCTCGTAACAACCTCAGGAGTTAAGTGCTATTATCATCCTCACTTTATAGTGAGGAACTGAGGCAGACAGCAATGAAGTAACTTGCTCGGTCACACAACTAGTAAGTGTCTGAGGCTGGATTTGAATTCAGCTCTTCCTGACTCCAGGGCCAGCGTTCTATCCACTGCACCACTTAGCTGACTCAAACAGATGACATCCTTTTTTTTTTTTCAGGTAGAGCTAGAAACCCATCGAAGCCTCTTCAAATAGCCCACTCTCTCCGCTCTTCCCTTTAGCTTCCCACTCTCCTTAAGTGTTGCCCTCTTTTTCCACCATCTCCCCATATCTTATTGTCTCTCCCATTATCCCTTCAGTTTCTTTGCTGTTTTTCAGTCTCCTCCACCTCTCTCTTCCTCATTCTTTCCATCTTTCTCTTCTTCAGGCATCCCCACTCCTGTCCCTCAGGTTTCCTCCATTCTTCAGCCACCTCATGTCCATGAGTCTCTTCCCCTTTGCACCCTAAGCCTTCTCTGCTCCAGGCTCAATATGGGGAGGTACTATCAAAATGGATCAATATGGTATGATCCCGAGGCCCTCTCCTAGCTTGGCTGCCCTTCTTTGGATAACCCACTTTGTGTCTCCTTTTCAAGCTGTCCTTTCTGTGTCCCTTAGACTACCACCTTCTCTGTCTCTCAATATGTACCCTCTGCGGGGTAGCTAGGTGGCTCAGTGGATAGAGCACCAGCCCTGAAGTCAGGAGGAGCTGAGTTCAAATCCAGCCTCAGACCAAACACTTGACACTTACTATGTGACCCTGGGCAAGTCATTTAACCCCAATTGCCTAAAAAAAAAATGTACCCTCTGTTCTTCAGCCTCCACACCCTCCCATTAGTCTTCTACTGTCTCTGCTTCAATCTTCCTCCCTCTCTCTGTCTCCCCTTCCTCCCTCTCTCTGTCTCCCCTTCTCTCAGTTCCTGTCTACCTCTACTCTCTCTTCTAACTGCTTTCACTCTGTTCTTATCTCCCCACTCTCCCTCCCTTCATCTCCACCTTTCAGTCCTTTATTCTTCCTCCTCTTTGTCTCTGCCTCCATCTTTCCACCTCTCCTCCTTCTGTCCTTCATTTCCCCACACACACCTCTTTCCCTCAGCCTCCTCCACCTTCTCTCCCTTATTCTCCCCCATCTCTGTCCTTTTGTTTTTCAGGATCTCCCCCATCAGTCTCCTCCACCCCTCTCAGCCTTGATCTCTTCATCTCTTCAGTCTTCCCTGACCCTCTCTCTCTCTGTTTCCCCATCTCTGTCTTTCAGTCTTCCCTCTCTCTGTCCCTTGATCTTCCCCTGTTTGTCCCTCATTTCTCCTCCCTGTCCCTAAACCTCCCTCCCATTCTGACCCCAGCCCCACATCCTTGGCCATGGATGATCATCCTGGTCAGAGCCTCAGAGCTTGGACCACAGTCTGCCAAGATCTGGATCAGGTGCTTGCTCTGCTCTGAGCCGCCATGACTCTTCCCGCCATCCTTCACCTCTCACTCCCTATCCCCACCCCAAGTACTGGGCCTTGTGCTGGTTCCCCTTACTCAAGCAGCTTCAGTGGCACCAGGCCTCCCAGCAAGGCTGCCTCTTTGGCTATCTGAGAATAAACAGTCCATTTCTGAGCAGGTGTCCAAGAGATTGAATGTGTGGGATCAGGGTGGGACCTGGGTTGGGGAAGGCTGGCAAACACCTGGAAGCCCCCAGACCATGGATTTGAGACAGGGGCCTAGGAATGAAGGCCCATGGAGGCCCTGGTGGGGAAATCAGGGATTCAGTATGATAACACCCAAACAACCTTCAGAGACTCACTAACTGTAGAGTGAGTCTCAGGAACAGAAACTCTTAAAAAGACGCAGAGACAGAGATGTGCCAAGGCAAATAAAGGAGGGACAGCCTTGGACGAAGGATGAAGAGCTCCCATTTCTGACACACTGGCTCGGAGACACTGGTCAAATTGCTTAGCCTGTGCCCCCAAGGCAAATCATTTGAAGAGGTCTTCTCATGGAGGAAGTCCCTAGAGTAATAAAGTCATAGATTTGGGAAGATTTTTATACCCTTCCCAATATATATGTTGTTCCCTCTTTAACCCATTCCTGATGAGAGTAAGTTTTCAGCACTACCCGCCCTCCTCTCTACTAGCTTCTTCTGTACCAATTTTTTTTCTTTTTTTGCCTCACTTATATGAGATAATTGCTCCTTTTTTTATCCTACTCAGTTTTATTTTTTAATTCACCCCATCATATTCAGCTTACCCCAAGTCTTCCTTTCAAACTATCCAAATAAAAATGACAGTCACAAAAGAACTGATAATATTTTCATGTACAGGAAGTAAATGATTTGATCTTATTATGTCCCTTACAATTGGTCCTTAATGATTACTTTATATTTCTCCTAGATGTTATATGTCAAAATTTTCCTTAAGTTCTACTGTTTTTGTCACAAATACCTGAGTCTTTCAGTTCATTAAATATCATTTTTTTTCTCATTCAGGATTACACTTAACATTGCTGGGAAAGTTACCCTTGGTCATAACCCTAGCTCTTTTGCTTTATGAACTATAGTATTCCAGGTCCTATGGTCCTTCAATGTAGTAGCTGCTAGGTCTTGTGTAATCCTTACTGTAGCTCCACGATATTTAAATTATTTTTTTTCTTCTTGCTTCCAATATTTTATCCTAACTCATGAGCTTTGAAACTCAGCTCTGATATTCCTATAAGTTTTCCTCCTGGGATCTCTTCCAGGTGGTGATCGGAGAATTTTTTCTATTTCTGCTTTTTCTTCTTGTTCTAGAACTTCAGGCCAATTTTCCTTGATAGTTTCTTTTCAGATTGTATCAATACTCATTTTCATCATAATTTTCAGGCAGTCTGACTATTTTTATATTATTTCTCCTTGATCTATTCTCCAGATCAGTTGTTTTTCTGATGAAATGTTTCACATTCTCTTCTATTTTTTCATTCTTTTGATTTTTTTTTTTGCTATTTCTTTGTGTCTTACAATGTCATTACTTTCCCTTTGCCCAATTTTAGTTTTCAAGGAATTACTTTCTTCCTTAAGTTTTTGGTTCTCTATTTCAAATTGGTTGACTTTCTTTTCACAATTTTCTTGATTTTCTTAGGTAGGTCTTATTTTTTTTCTAACTTTTCCTCCATCTCTCTGATTTCTAAAGTCCTTTTTAAGTTTTTCTAAGAAATCTTTTTGTGCTTGGGACCATTTGATGTTTCTCGATGAAAAAGGAGTGGCTTTTTTTTAGCTCCATTATCTTCCTCTGAATATGAACTCAGATCTTCTCTATCCCCGTAGTAGCTATCTATGATTGGGTTCTTTCTCCTTTTCTTGTTCAGTTTAATTTTTTTTTTGGCAGCTATTAGCATGATCAAGTTCTAGTCCCAAAGTATAGGGAATAATGCCCCAAGCCTCAGGTCCTTCTTACTATTAAGAAGGGCCTCTCTACTTCTAAGCCACAGCCAGGACCCCTGGTCATACTGCCCTATAAATGCTTTTGCTCCCTGTAGTCCCTCCGGTGGCAGCAAACTACAGCTGTCCTCTCTTCCCTGGAACTGAAACCCCGGGGCTCTGCTCTCTTGCAAGTGCCCTCAGCCAGCAAGGTTCCCACCCCTCCACTACTGCCCTCACCAGGTGTGTACTAGCTCCTTCTCCCCCTGCAGCAACAGCCCAGCACAGGACACGTCTGGTCAGCACAGCCGGGCTTGGTGTCCCTTGACAGCAGAAGGTCCTTCAATTTTCTCCTACTCAGCTGTCAAACCCCACACTGTCCGGGAGATGAAAGTTTCTAAGGCTGAGACTGCCTTCCTACCCCAACCGCCCCCAGTGTTTGTTATTTGTTGATTTCGGAGATGGCCTAGAAGTGTTGCACTTCACTCAGGCCAAGCCTCTACCCCTGGAGGTCAGGTCTTTCCTGGGAATCTTCTTAGGTTATCTTGGGAGAACAACTGCTTTATTTATTTAAACTGACTTGTTTATTTTCACCGCTCTAGGTTACCTCTCAGGCAATATTCTGTCTTTTTCTGTGGAGGAAATTTGGACAGCTGAAAGTTTTCTGACCTACTCCACCATCTTCCCAGACTCCTCTTTCAAACTGCCTTATGATAGCTGATTGTTTCATTTTCAGTGGGAACACTTACACCTTAGAAATCTACAAATTCTACAAATGATCT